TACTCTTCTGTTAACTTGAATGTTATAGATCGGTCGGATACAGATGTGTACCTCATAACATCAACTATTGCGCGCGTGGTTATTATACGGTCTTTCCAAACAAATCCAGTATTAATACAATGATTTCGGATGAGTTTCAACAGAAGCGGAGCATCCGCAAATGCGAAAATCTTCTCCTCTGGATCAATAGGGTTGGTGAATCGTGGGTGTTCTAATTAATTGTTAATTAGCTTTAGAAAATGTATTAGTGAATTAAATATATACCTGGAGTGATGTCGAGGTCTCTCCAAAGCTTTTGGTTGGATGGGCCCATATCGCAGACCATCGCAAGAACAGGGAAGCCAGCATTTTGCACAGCCAAAATAATCGTATGCATAAGTTCGACGGCTCTTTTACAATCAAAATCGTAAAATACTGGCTGCTTCAAGGATTTTAATTATCCGCGCGCCATAACCACTTGAACATAATTTGCCGGCTTCCTGACGAAGTCGTCGGTAGGCTCATACTCAAAATCTTTGGTGACCTTCATCTCGTCGAAAGCCAGCACACACACTTTTTCGACGGCAGTGAGCTCGTGAATGTAGCGCATTAAGTCCAATGCAACGGATAACATTCCCTCACCAACACTAATTTTGCGGTACCACCTTTGAAGTGTTCTTATATGTGGCAGGGGGAAGCCTTTCGCATACAGACGCCCTTGATTCAATAATACAAGGTTCGATAAACTGACAGTTGTCTCTCTCGCACCGCTCCCTTAGCAGTGGCACCGTGTTGCTTCTTTGCGAATTTACATGGAAACAGTGTAGCTTTGGTGTGAAATAAAAGTATAAGCTTTTGTGCAATATGTTTATTTGTATATGCATATGAAGCATATTTAACTGATGAAAACATAAGCATTGGATGTTTACATCAGTCTCTTAGTAGTCTTATTTTAATTTTGAGTCATTTTGCAGTTTTTATACGGCTAAATAGCATATAAATTACGTAATTCACGTAGATATATCAATATTACGTTCAACATTTCGTTTAAAATGCCAGATTTCCTTCAAATACATTAGAATTTACGAAAGGAATTTCACTACTAATTGCCTACTTTGCGTACTTTTCTACTACCATTTTCGAAACAAGGGATTGCATTCTGCCCTTTTTCTGTCCTTCGTAAACGCAACCTTTTGTAAGGGAGTGTCAAACCGCAGCTGTCAATAATTATCTAACCTTGTATTATTGAATCATGACAGATGCCTATATGCTCGAGGTCCGGCAGCGTGAATACATTTGGCGCTGGAAATATCGCTCCACGACCATCTAACTTTTTTGTCTATAAAACAAATAAAGTCTAATAGCAAATTTACAGAGTTTGGTTTAATTTTATACATACCTTTTGCAATCATTTTTCTAACCTGTCCGTCTGTGAATATGGACCGAATGGAAGACATCAAAGATGCATTTTCGTCCAGCTGGGCTTTAAGTTTTGCGTTCTCCTTAAGCAGCTGCTTATCTTGCGATTTCAAATTGGCAAACTCCAGCTCCATTGTACACTGCAGAACCATGGGACTAAGAAACTTGTTTTGTGGAAGAACATAACTGCATAGAAAAGTATATACTGTGGCGAATACTACGACAACACATAGCGGCTACAGCAAACAACTGGAGCATGGAGGATAAACCCCCTGCACTGTTCGTTGCATTAAAAGGACCTGCAGCGGAAATCTTGCAGACTATTCCTGATTGTGAAAGGAACAGTTACGATGCGTTAATGGGTGCAGTGGAAAGACGTTATGGTAGCGAGCACAGGAGACAGATTTACCAGATGGAGCTGGAGAATCGCTGCCAGAAATCCAACGAGACTTTACAGGAATTCGCCTCTGAGATTGAAAGGCTGGCTCATTTGGCAATTGGAGACGCATCTGGTGAGCACCTTGAAAGAGTAAAAATCCAGAGGTTCATCAACGGAATGCGGGACGTGTATACCAAGCGAGAGACGTACGCGAATCCCAAGCCAACATTTGCTGAAACTGTCTCGTATGCTCAGACGCGTGAAACGGCGGCGCTCCTATGTAGACCAGCCTACAAAGCACATCGCGTAGAAGTGGAAACACCGGACGAGACAAATGAAATGCTGAAGAAGATTATCCAACTGCTGGGCGAGAAAAAGCATGGCTCTGGCAAATGTTTTAAATGTGGAAAGCCAGGCCACTTCGCCCGCGATTGCAGCGCAAGTTCCAGTGGGCTCAACAATTCAGCAGGACGCAAACGCAGGGCTGAAGGAGACGAAGCCAACTCCAATCAGTCGTTAAACTGAAACGAGCCAGCAGGAAGGGCCGCGTGCTGGCTCCAGAAGTTGAAGGGCCCATAATCTCCGTCTCACAAATTGGCCGGAATGCGAGCAACCTCACTATTGGTGGATGTGTGAATGGGCAGGAGAGAGTACTGACAGTGGATACTGGAGCGACACATTCCATTATTCGACCGGATTTGGCCACTTTTTATGTGAAGCCACTACCTGGAGCAAAGCTGCAGACTGCAACTGGTGAATGCACCCAAGTATTAGGAGAAGTACCATGCGAGGTAATAATCGACGATTGGGCCTCGTACACTAAGTTTATAGTGGCAGACATTGTGGATGAAGTCATCATCGGCGTGGATTTCTTACTTGGCCAAGGCATGAAGATTGACCTCCAGAGAATGATCCTGACAGATCGTCACAGGAAAGTGCCACTTAGGGTTGGTTACGACAGCCAGTGCTGCAGCAGACGGTTAGTCTTAGAGGAAGTGTCGAAGATTCCACCAGAAACGGAAGCGGTTAGTTGGGCGGAGGTTGGCAGTGATGGGGACGGAATGGTTTCGTCAGGAGAAGGAAGTGGTTCACCGATACAGGAAAAGCGTGACGGTTCCACCAGCTCAGTGAAGAAGAGGTCGCAACAAGAAAGTGGTCATGGCGAGCCAGGCAGTGTTTCCGGCAGGAGGAAAGCCACTGAACCACGTTGCAATGGTGATACGCCGGTGGCCGGAAATGGAAGCGGCTGTGGAAGCAGTAGGCGCTCTTTGAAGTGTCCCGAAAGAGGTGGTCGGCAAAGGTGAGCAGTTAAGCCGGAAGCCAAGGGTGAGATTATACATGTCCAGTCAATGAAGATAGCATCGGCGGAAGAGCGAGATAAGAAACGACGGCGGAAGCTTTAGTGTAAGGATCCGGGTGTAGCAAGATGTGCTAACGGCAGTGCAGCACGAAGGCGGGAGTCTGGGTATCATGGACAGATGATGCGGCATAGATCTGGCGAAAAGGGTGCCCACGAGAAGAGACATGGTCTGGTCACCACCAGTGGCCGGCAGAAGCACGACCATGTGAGATGGTGCACTCCCGAAGATAAGCCGGAAGTAATGTCCAGTAACGCATGGTGGTTGTACATGTCGCAGCAGAAGCAAAGCTTCAACTCCAAGCAAAGACGTGACTGGAAAGATTCGAAGATTAAAAAACGGCTGAAGGACGCAGAGCATCAAATCCAGACAATGGGGAGACCGAGGACCAAGATGAAAGTGGTCCACTTGAAAAGACTTGCAGCGGTTGGAGTGGCAAGTATGTCTGATCGGGACGATCAGACTTAGGTGGAGGGCAGTGTGGTGAATACTGCGGCAACACAAAGCGAACAACGAGAAATAGGCAGAATGTTCGAGGAATGACGTAGAATGTTCCACAAAGAGAAACGTCAAGTTGGATGAACATTGCGAACAGCGAGAGAAAGAGAATGAGCGATAAACTTCAGAACGTTCTAGAGTTGCCATAAGTGCGAGCGCAGGTATATAAGGGCGCCGCCACAGCGAAGTGAGTTAGCTACGAGTTACAAGTCAGCAAGCTACAAGTAAAGTGAGCAGAGAAGTGAGTTGCGAATAAGCAAGCTATAAGTTTAATTGTGTTAACAAGTTTAGTAAAGCGTTGTTATTGCTTTAACACATATATGTAATACTCCTATATTGGCAGTAAGAGCTAGTACCGTCCAAAAACACTACAGTACAGATATATCAATAAACACGTACGAATGAAAAGGAACACACACGTTTATAAATAAACATGTACACAACACATATACAAAAACGGCACTCAAGTACACAATACATTGACAAAAACGGTACTAGACTGTCTCGCTTTGATTTCGGAATGCTTACACATTGAGAAGTTAGCTTACTGCCAATATAGTATTAAATATATGCTTTAACAAGTATTTTTACCGTATTAGCGAGTATTGTAAATTGTTTGTTGTACAATAAAATTAATCGTACAACACTTTGGTCACCGTTAGTATTTATTTAACAATCCAGAGATACGAACCGAAAGATATTTGGGAAATCCCTCGAGGTTTCAAGGATAATCGTAACAATACATATATATGTATGGCATTAAACAACTTACTAGGTTTGCGTGTGGCAACTAGTATGTGCCACACATTGAGCCACCACTGATATAATTGATTCCCTTAAGGGATCACTTCAGTAACCAATTTGTTCACATATTTTCCCACCGTCACTTCCCCAACTAAAATATTTCAATTTTACCACCTACATGCATCTATATTCTAAGGCTCTGATCTTAAAGTATACTTACAAAGGTGGTTTTATAAAGAGCGTTGGAACAGAGTTGGGCATCAAGTGCGTTCGTTGTGCGCCACCAATCAAATCCGAGCTCGCGAAATGCTCCCCGCAAACGACATGGTTTGCTGTGAACGTGATGCCACATGCTCTGTTCCAAAACAAAAAAAAATATGGTTTTGAAATAGGAATTTGATTTTGTATTTTAAGCAAACCCTCAAGATTAAAAATTGCCCTAGTTGCAAGAGTTAAAATTATACAAACATAATAAATTATTACCAAAATAGTTTCATATAAGGCGTACACACTCATGCTTATATATGTATTTATTTTAAGCGTGCATAATTTAAATCACTTGCCCACATGACAGGGACAATTAATTAAATATGTACATACCTAAAAATAGTTTCAATAAAGTCCACAATATTAATAGCGCAGTCGATAAAGAAGCAAGGGCGACACAATCCTAGCTGTTAGGCGTTTTGTAGACCTACAAAGAACAAAAATTTAAATGAGATAAAATAAGCACATACATACATACATATATACGTACCCTGCCAACAAAATCATCGTAAACTAGCTCGTAACTGGATATTTTCTTGAAGAGAAACTGGATGAAAAGTCGTGGATAAAAAGATCGTAAAATGTACGTTTTCTTGCTGGCTGGGTATGTGCGAAGTATCAAAATTTTATGAACATTCGAAAGTACTTCTAAGGTGTAAATAAACACCATTGGATATAAATGCGCGTGGATGTGCTTGTTTTGATTGATGGTAGTGACCACAAATGATGGAGCTTTCAACTGAATTTGCTCAGACAACAACTCCAATTGTGATACGGAAATACACATCTGCAATCAAAATAGAAATTTACGTACATATCATTAAGTTCATCAAATATTAAAGCTATAGTCTCCCCTGTTTGAAATCCCAAGTACCAACAAGCGTTGCCATGGATTTTAATTCCGACTGACATTTTCAGGCCCGATTCTTAGAGCGGGGATGATGTCGGTGTGCTGATGAATTTCTCATCTTCGCTGTGACTAACCGACACAATCAACGGTGGCGTTGCTACCTCGTAGTGCCAGTTGGTGGTGAAACAATGTTTATCACGTGACCGAGGGAACGTGCCTTTAAGATGTAAGTTTACAGGTACGTTGCAAATATGCAGTAGGCGTTGCGATAGCTGGTTCATTGACGCAGTGAAATCTAGAAATAGATTATATCATATTAGATAATTATATTATCACATAGATTATAATATAAAAAAAACATATATATGTAAATGTAAGTGCGGATATAATACTGACACTGGTAGGTACTGACTGTGTTTAATGCCTGGAAGTTTGTACAAAGACATATGCCTGCTCAATTTCAATTGGATACGATTTCTGAACTATAAATATGATTAAAAGTTTGAACGTAAATAATTTAATATTTAATTTTACCAGTTTAAAGAGTGATTTTGGGTGGCGCAATCTAAACAATATCCGGCATTTAAAGAAAAACTGCTTGACGCTGCCTGGAAGGTCTACGTTAGCTGGTTTGTTCAGAAGGCCCTGCTTTAGGCTTTCTGCACATCGGTCGTCCAATCAAATATAGACTGTGCTGCAACAATTCTAGACATAATTTTTCAGTAATATCTCTTCTTTTCTTTTCCTGAAATGTGTTTTGTGCATGCACACAGAGACTTTTTACAATTTCGTCATATTTATACCCGAGCGCACTTGTGCACAAGGGTATATTAATTTTCTTCACATAACGGTTGTTTGTAACAGCCAAAACGAATCGAGATAGATATAGACAAATGTATACATAAATGCTCAGAATGAATAGAGAAATCGATTAAGCCATGTCTCTCTGTCCGTCCGTCCGTGTACACGATAACTCGAGCAAAAATTTAGATATCTCAACGAAATTTGGTATGTAGATTTCCGTTAATCCAAGGTAGGTTGGTATTGAAAATGGGCGAAATCGGACTGTAACCACGCCCACTTCCCATACGAAAATTGCGATATTTTAGTAACTAGTGAAGATAATTCACTGAAAATTGATATTTACAATAATTTTCAGGCGAAAAATAAGAATATTATAAATTTTTGGAAAATGTGCGTAGTCACGCCCACTTATGGTTACATGTGTATATCTTGGTAACCGCTGCACCAATTTCTTCCAAACTTGGCACAGTTGTTGGCCTACAGCATAATACAGCAATAACCACGTCCACATCCCATATAACGGTAATTTAGAGAAATACAAAATCTTCGATAAATCAGTAAATATTAAAGCTAATTTATTCAAAATTGATGCTTGCAACAATTCTTTACAAGGAAATACGTTTATGGTAAAATTTTGGAAAATGGGCGTGGCACCGCCCACTTATGATCGCATATATGTATATCGGTAACCGTTCTACCAATTTGTATCAAACTCGGTATTTTTATTGTGCTTGCCACATAAAAGCAAAACGTTGAAAATTATTGAAATCGGACTAAAATTACGGCCGCTTTTCATATAACGGTAAATTTCAGAAATGCTTGAAACTGCAATATTTCGAAATTTAAGGACGCTAATTTACCCAAAATTGATACACCCCGGCTTACCATCTAACATATATTTAATACTTGCGCCGGATATTTCCTCCTCTTTTTAATAATTTCCACAGATTTTATGCAAAAAATACTACTTTTTATGCAATTTTAATGCTGTTTTCCCCATTAATAAACCTTATGGGAGGTGGTCACCTGGAACGACTTCCTGTAAAAACCTGCAAATCGTGAAGCATCTGGAACGCAACTAATACAAGATTGCGCCGTCCTGGGCGTTGACATTTGTGTACCACAAGTAAACAAAGAATAGGGCGAAAAGAAGAACGAGTTGAAACTGCCAAAGCTGTTCACTTTACAGCGAAAAACGTGTTTAAATTTTGCTAAATGCGAAAATATTGCATTTTTCACCTAATCTATTAGAGAACAGTGAACATTTTAGTGCACTCCATTGCTTTGCAATTGAGGCTACTTCAGCAAAATCTCTGCGGGATTGATTAGTTAACTTGCTAACGGAGGCTGCGTGGAGCAGAAACAAAATCATTGTGAGAATATGCTGTTAAAATAATAATAAAGAAATATTTCGGGAACGGCTTTGCCGTGCCCTATGTACACAAAATGCAGCGACTCGTCCCAGCGCTACACTTGCATCTAGGCTTCTTGCATCTTGTCGGCTGTCGCAATTTAACACACATCACTTCATTGTATTAGTTTTTACGCAGTCTTCAACTCAAAAATCTCTCACAAATTGCAAATTAACACAATTTAAACTGAGTTTTCACTAATAATTCATATTTCTCTTTCGCTGATTTGTTAACAAAGGTTTATTTACAAGTTACCACAACTGTCAAAATCGGCAAAACCAAAGCAGCGGTACCACTGACGGCGCCACCTTTGTTCGCTGCACCGTGTTTGCAGTGCGCTATTTCCTGTAAAGTAACAGCAAGGAATACCGACTCCAAGCTCCTAATACGGTCTACAAAAAGGGGTGAAGGCTTTTTAAGGTACCCTTTCGACACCTGATCCACTCACGTAAAAGTTGCGTTACTGGTGTCTTCGTGCTCGCTGGGATGTTGCTTGCGAATTATATATCCAGCCATATATTTTAGCGCATCGCCATGCAGCACGTCAGCATCGTCATGCATCACATCGGTTCCCCCATGGAGCACATCGCTGTCGCCTTCCAGCACATCGGTTTCGCCTTCTAGCACATCTGGATCGTATTCCAGCACATCGCCATCGCCATTGGCGTGAGCGACATTCAGAGCGTCAACGACCTCTGATTCTGCCTCCAAATGCTCTGGTTCTCCTACTTCCTGCTCATGTGGTGCGCTATTTTCGAACACCCCGCTTCCACACAATACCTGCGGGTTTGATGTGTTCAGCCATTCAACAGAATCCTGCTCGGCGTTGCCTGTTTTGTTCAGATTTTGGGCATTCCTTGCTGAAAAATAATTCAGAGGGGCTATTCTCAAACGAGTCAGCGACAAATATCGTATCGCTATCATAACCTTGCGACATTCATAACACACGTCAGCCACTTCCGATAGCGATCTGAATATTGTCGTTAACTGGTTTGAGATTAGGTATACAGGTGTGGACAATATACAATTAAATATACATTTAAAAGATGATTTTTGGCAAACTTACCTAAAATGTATTTTCGGAGCCTGTACCTAAACTCCTTCGGCGTATGGTGGTCGTTTAATCCTCCCTTGCTTCGTATATTTCCGAAGAAGTGCTTCAGCAAATCTTGATTTAGACGCCGTGTGACAACGTAGTTGAAGTTGTACTTCACTACCACATACTCGTACAACTGTAACAGTGCGTTATTTGTTACCAAAACACCACTTTGAAATTGTTGTATGCTATTTTTGCGAGGAATGATAACATCTGACATGAAATTATTCATCCGTTCCAAAATCTCGAGCTGCCGCTGCATCGTCCGTACAAGTGGTCCGTTTAAGTAAATTATATGCAGATAATAAGTTGCGAGCTTTATGAAATATTACCTTTCCAGGATAATTGAACGTTTTAATGCAGGAATTGAGCATGTCGTACCAATCGTTCACCAACTGAATTAGTTCAGCTGTCTCAATCGCTTCTTCTATGTCCGACCCCAGAGCGTAGCAGCGCAGCATGGCTTTTGCAGTCGTGTTAGAAAGCAACTGTGTCGCCAATTTTACCTTTTGTCTGCCTGAAATTTTGCGTGAATTATATTAGCTACGAGATTATAGAATAGTTATTATTAACATACCTATCCCTTTTACAGCTAAGTA